TCCCGGGGTGCTCCCACGCGCCAGGTCTGGGGGGCGTTCTGGGGAGAGGATGGCCGACCACTAGCAGACAGGCAGTCCGTGGGGGGGGGGGTTGGGAACGGTAGTTGTTAGGGGCAGGGACCCCCACACCCTCCGTGGAGAGTGCCCTCTCGCTCCCCGTGCGAGGCACCGCGGGTTTCGGGAGCTGAGATGAAACGATCCTCTGCCGACATCCCGAGGTCCGTTCAGGGGTCAGGAGATGGGAGGCGTGTTTCTGGGTGTGCTCTCTCGCGGTGTCCTTTATTTTCAGGAATAGGTAACTGTTATTGAAGTTGAGAAATGGTTCATAGTCACAAGTTCCATTTCTATCTCAATAGTTGCTACGTAGTAGAAAGGTTTCGTAGGTGAACTTGAAATTGTATTTGGTAATATGAGGGTTGTCTTATTGTCCCCCCCCCAAAAAAAATGAAGGAAATACTGGCAGAAAGGACTTCGAAGACTTTCTTGCTGGTATGTAGGTTTTTCTGGGCATCAGACCCTCGGGCGTCTCCATGGAGGCCCCAACCGTGGTCATGGCCGCCCTGCGCAGGGTCTCACATCCCCGCCGAGGGCACATGCTTCCTCTGGCCGGGAGCGCGGCCTCTCTGGGAAAAATTAACCTGAGGCTGACAGCGCGTGGTACACAGTTGGGAACATTCAGGCTCCTCGGATTGGTTTTGAAGATGCTTTGCTTTCCTCTTTCTGCCTTCCCAAGAGGAGCCTCTCAGAGCTAGTGCCTCCGTGGTCGGTGTGCCCCGAGGCACGCACTTGCACCATCGCGCAAGGAACAACAAAGCCACTGATAATCTCAGCGAGCAGCTCACTTTTTGCTGTCAACTTGGTTTAGGAAAAAATGAAGACTTAGTTGTTATTACACCTGCAGCCACACCGGCCTCTCTCTTCCCGTGTAAATGGGGCCTGACCCCTGATCGCGGGCCCCTGTGCACTGGAGCTGAGCCGTCGGCAGTTCCTTCTGCACTGGGTCAAGCACCCCCCCTGCCAGCGCGCTGGGCCCTAGTGACCCCTCCCCCACCTGCTCACGGACGCCGCTCAGCGCGCCGTCTGCATGTGGGTTCAACTTTCAAGAAAAATTTTGACCATTTAGTAATAATTTCATCATGTGGTTAATTTTTACTGATGAAAAACGTGGTTTACATGCCAAAGTCAGCGTTGTTAAGAACTGAGTAGTTTTGGGGCAGATGAGGGTTGGGATGAAGTATTTTGGTTTGTCAGAGGCCCGCAGGTGGTGTTAAGGTTTCAGAACCACACAGCCCGAACTCAGTGGAAGGCAGGAGACCAGAGTAGCCACCGGCTCTGTGTGCGGCACCGGGTGAAATGCGGTGGAGAGGGGCGAGGTCGCCTGGCCCGACCTCCGCTTCACAGACCGGGAACCTGGGGCCCACTTCCTCGCCCAGACCACGGTCCTCCCTAGTGGTCAGTTACGGTCCGGCCTGAGGCTGGGCAGCCAGTCCTCCCGCCAGAAAGGGTTAGGAGCAGCGGGACAGGTGGTGAGAAAGGATGCTGGCCCTACGTGCGGTCCACCTCCAATGCGACTCTTACAAGTTCGGGATTTGCTGAATTTGGGGCGAGAAACTACCAACGGTGCTGAAGCCTGGAAACGACAGTTACAGCAGCGACTTAGGAAGGACCGGCGTGTAGGTGGTAAGCGAAATGCGCAGTGGGAGAGCCAGGCTAGGGAGCCGGATGACGGGGAAATACAATAAAATGAAGTAAAGTAAGAGAAATAAAGGACGTTTTAAAAATGAAAGCAAGGAGAATGTCCATGAACAGCAACAGAGAAAAACGAAATTAGTAGGCCGTGTGATCACAGGCAGGAGGCCTTAACGTTGCCACGATCTGCAGATGCAGTGCGGCCTCTTCCAAAACTCCAGCGGCCTTTCCAGAGAAGCGGACCGATCTTAAACTTCCTATGGGATTGGGGTGGGTCCCAAAGAGCCGGAACAGGCTTGAAAAAGAAGAACAGAGTGGGCGACTCACGCCTCCTGGCTCCGAACTCCCCGCAGAGCGGTGCAGAGCCGAGGGCACAGAGCCGAGGGCGCAGGAACGAAGGCCCGCCCCTGGGGTCCCCCGGCCTCCCGCTGGGGAGAGGACAGTTTCGTCAGCGAAGGGAAGACGGGACCCTCACCTCACGTTGACTGGAAGCTCATCAGTGGCCTTGACTCCGTCTCGTAGCTGCTCGAGCAGCCTCAGTGGCACCTCAGGTGACGTCACTAGCCTCATTGTCACTGTGTTTGTGCCGCATTAGTGAGAACACCGCTCCTTCCTTAACTCGATACCGGTTCCCAGGGATGTTCTCACGTTGCTCAGAACCACCAAGGAGAGCATTTCAGGGGGAGGGCAGCCTCAGCTCACGCCCTGGCTCCTCGAGCCCAGTGTGCCCGGCCTGGGCGGTTGTGGACGGCACTGCTGGGAGGGAGCCGAGGGCTGAGCTGCCCTCTGCACTGCCATCTGCGCTTCGGCTCTGTCCCTGCAGAACCGGACCGGCAGGCCCTCCGAGTGCCGTGCGCCCAAGAGGCCACACCAGTCCCTGCCCTCGGGAGCCAGCGTCGGCGGTCCCTGTGCTTTCTCAGCCGTGCCCTTCGTTACTTCCGAAACTCCTTTCCCAGCGCCCTCGCTTCGGTAACCACAGCACGTACGTGCTTCTCCCTGGCCCTCTGCTCCTTGGTGAAACAGCCACTTTTCCCTGTGACTACGCTCCGTGTGTTGAGGGCCGCTGTGTTAGCCCGAGAGCAGCACCCAGAGGAAGAAAGGGTCGCGATTCCAGCAGGAAGACTTGGGGGGCGGGGCCCGCGTTGTGTTGGGAGGTTGGACTTTTTTCCCTGGCTTTGCTCGTCTGGCCCGAAAAAGTCCACATCGCTTGAATGTTTGTCTGGGTGAGGCCACCACTGCATCCTGGGGGCTCTGCCCCCACCTCCTCTTGGCTGCAGCCGCCCCTCCTGGCAGGGGACGTGTGGCACTAGCTGAGCGGTCCCCACAGGCTTGTGCAGGGGACGCGTGCAGCTGTGTCCTGGGCACATTCCCAGTGGCGTCTCCAGGAGATGACACTTTGCTTGTTGCTTCCAGTCTTAGTGGGGAGCCCTGGCAGCGTTCTGCACCCCCTCTCACTGCGCCTCCCACAGGCCTGGCGGAGAGTCTTTCAGGCCACCCCCAGCCTGTCCCTGTAGACCACTGAAGGCCACTTCATTCAGTGCCCTGGGCTCGTGTCCTGAGCGTGGAACATGACGAAACGCAGGTCGGTTCTGCGGTTGCTGAGTTCCTCGTGGCACGGCTGCTGTGCCTAAAGCTTGAATCGTCTCTCACGCAGTTGGGTCTGGTTGTTCTGGAAATCGCTCCCCCCTCAGTGCTCAGAGCTCTGGGTTCACTGCTCCCTGCAAAGGGGCCAGGTGTCCTGGCTACGTACCTGGGGGTTGGCTTTCACCCTAACTCCCCCACCCCCGCTTCCCCTCCTCCCGAGGTAATGGGATCCGGGCCGGCGACAGTGATCAGGCCTCAGAGAAGCCTGCGGCCCCTTCCGGCGTCAGCTGGGGTTTCACAGAGCTCGGTCCTGAGGGTGCGGTAACTGGAAACCGGCGCGTTTCTTCCCCGAGTCAGTTTTAACGGGGCTGTGGCACCTGCTTCCGGTTCTCCCCCGAGAGCGCCGTGCAGCTGCGCTGGCCAGCGGAGCGCCTCCCTGCCACGGGCCTGGGCTCTGACCCTGCGCAGGCGGCTGCAGGCAGAAGGCCCTTCCCCTCAGGCTGCCGAGTGACCCGCTGACCGCCAGGCCTTGGGAACAGACAAGTGCCGTGGAAAGTGGGCAGATCCGGAGACTCCCTCGGGTGTGGCTGAGCCAGACTCCGAAAGATCCAGTGGCATGACAGAGAAGAGGCCGATGGTCCCCGAGCCCTGCAGGGAGAAGAGAGACGGGGCCTGACGCTCCGTGCAGGGTCGGTCGCCCGCCAGCGGCAGGACGGCCGACCCGCTGTCCACTCTGTCTCCCGTGTCACTTGTGGTTCCGTGTCCAGGAGGAGCCCTTGCCCGAGGGTCACACCAGAGCCGCAGGGCGTGGGCACCACTGAGGGACACTCGCGATGCGTCCAGTCATCAGTGGGCCCTAAAATTAGGGTGCGATGTCATTACACGTAGTCAGTAACCAGTTTTGAAAGGGAAGGAGTTCGTGAAAAACAGCTTTTCAACTTAGGGAGAAAGCAAAACGGAAGAGTCACAGCCAAACTAGTGTGTTGTGGTTGTGCGGCACTAGGCGGCTGCGATTGTTGCACGTTGCGCACTGACACACGCAGTAGTCGTTTCCCAAAGTCCTGGTGTGAGGGGCAAGGGTCACGAAAGAAAGGTGGTGTCTCACAACCCTCACGTGCCGGCCGGGGCCAGAGCCGAGGACGCCCCAGCTCCCCGCCCTGGGGGGCTGCCAGTGGCGGGGACGTGCTTTCTCGCTGGGAAACCGTGGAATGGAGCCGCGGTTTATCGAAGAGGCGTTGCTTGTGTGGGGTCCATCATTTCTAAGTTCACGTTGCCTCTCAGGAAACAGGATGGCTGGTGGGACCCCTCTGAAGAGGGGCCGGGAAGGCTTGGTGCTCTCAGTCTGACAGAGCTGTACGAGGTCATTGGCTGCACGGTCATTGGCTGCACTTGACCCCTGGCCCCCACAGGTTGTCCATCGGACACTGCTGGGCCTCATTCTTGGGATAAGAATGTAACGTTTAAGGGGAAGACAGGCGAGGTCACTGTCCTCCGGGAGCTCACACTGGCATGGGGGCAGACGACACACGTGGGGGCTGCGTGCACAAGGTGAGGCACCCCCCTGGGGGGGGCTCCGGAAGGGCTGAGTCTCCTGCCCGAGGTGCAGACACAGCTGAAATCTTGTGCCTTCGGGAACATGCGCAGGGCTGAGCCGTTGGACTCCTCTGTGCTTCTGTCCGACTCCCGCGCAAGGCTCTGAGAATCCCTAACCGGGGTCTCCCTCTCAGGGTGCAGAGAGCACGTCCTGGACACCAAACCCGAGTCCATCAGTGGCACGGCTGACCTTGGCCTGCCGCCCGAGATGCCCATCCTGATCGATTTCCACGCGCTCAAGGACATCCTGGGGCCGCCGATGTACGAGATGGAGGTGAGCGGTCTTGGCCTCGGGTTTTCCCCCCACGCGGCTCCCTCTGCCAGCAGCTTGGCGGACAGGGGCACCGGTGGAACCGGGTGCTCGGGGAGGCTGCACTTTGCCCTCAGCTTGGAGACGTGTTTTCTCCAGGGGGGTGAGCGTCAGTGCCTCATGAGAGACAGTTGGGGGTCTGACCCTCCTCTTCCTCGGCAGCTGTGCCGCACGACCCTGCGCCAGGCGGCGGGGGCTCCAGCACCCCACATGGGGAGCGGGCCTGCCCTCCCCACTGTGGGCACCGCTCTAACAGATTTACAACAGGGATACTGGCTTGGCCACTGAGTCCAGGCTGGGGCTCAAGTCAGACTTGGTAGAAGCAGGCAGAGGGACACTGCCCTGTGTTGGGCGTGGGCAGTGCGGCGGGAGCCGTGCCCCTGGAAGGAAGGCCCTCAGCGCCACCTGTGTCTCCAGTCCTGGGTGCCGGCTGGCCTCCCCTGTGGCACCTGTCCCAGCCGCAGACAGGACCCACGCAGGGCTCTGGGGACGTGACTAGAGTATGGTCACCCTCCCCCCCCCGTCTGAGTCCGAGAGTCATCTCGGTCCCCAGAGCTGTTTAATTTCCTGTCCCAGTGGTCTGTGATGTGTGATAGTGCCCAGCAGCCTCCTTGGCTGCCACCGTGATTTTGGAGAACATTTTAAAGTCAGGGTTCTCACCACCTTGGTCCCTTGGAAAAGGCCGAGCATCAGCAGCCCTGGCTGGTCCTCAGGCCTCAGCCCTGCCACTCCCGAGTGTAACTGGCCCCGGGGAAGGTCACACTCTCCGGGGAGCGCTGGCAGGCATTGCACTCCGCTCTCGGACACCGTGTCTTCAGTAGGGTGCAGGGTGTCTCCCACGGCCACTCTGTTTCTCTGACTTGGCTCTGCTCATGTATTTGGCTCAGCACTAGACCCGTGGCCTCAGGCGAGGGGCATGTTCAGTTTGAAGCGGCATCCAGGCAGTGCTGCTGGCATCCAAGCTCCAGGGAGGGACCAGGGAGTCCCGGGGCATGGGCAGGAACAGAGCCAGGAGCCTCCAGGGCCCCTGACTCCTCGCTGTGTGGAGGGGGGGTCTGTGCCTCCTGAGACAGACTCGGGGCGACGCAGCGGGGCCTAGGGCTAAGCGTCCACGCAGCCCCGAGACAGCGGTCCTGCAGAGTCTGGTGGATGGGTGTGCTCCCTGGAAGTCAGGAGAGGGGAGTCAGCCTCGCTCCCGGCGGAGAGCCTTCCTCGGCAGGTGGCGTGGGGCCTCCCAGTCCTGGTGAGGCAGGTGCTCAGAGGTCCAGGGAGCCGGCGGAGGTGCCTGGGCCCTGGCCGACCGGCCGTCACCTCCGCTCTGCACAGGTGTCCGAGCGCCTGAGCCAGCCGGGCGTGGCCATAGGCCTGGCGTGGTCCCCCCTGGGCGGGGAGATCATGTTTGTGGAGGCAAGTCGCATGGACGGCGAGGGCCAGCTAACTCTGACCGGCCAGCTGGGGGACGTCATGAAGGAGTCTGCCCACCTGGCCATCAGCTGGCTCCGCAGCAACGCCAAGAAGTACCATCTGACCAACGGTGAGTGGCGGGGGTCGCAGCGGCGGGAGACGCACTGTGAGCCCCAGCAGGTCCCAACCCAGCAGAGACCGAGGCCGGCTTTGGCGGGCAGCTGCCCTCACTGAGGGACGGGCCTGCACGGGGCGGGGGCGGGGGACGTGGAAGCGCTGGTCCCACGCCAGGGCCATCGGCGAGAGCCTGAGCCAGACGCTGACTCCGAGGGTTTGTCATTTCTAGCCGCACTGTGAGTAGAACGAGATTGCTTTCCACCTCGGCCTCCCTGCCTGCTCATGTTCTGAGGGAGTGGTCCTTCATCCAACACATTACTGATTTTCGTTTTTAGGAGTAAAAACAGGTTTAACTTTCCTGCATTAAAATCCTGTCTTCCTTTTTAAAGCCTCTGGAAGCTTTGACCTTCTGGACAACACAGACGTCCATCTGCACTTCCCAGCTGGGGCTGTGACGAAAGACGGGCCCTCGGCAGGGGTCACCATCGTGACCTGCCTCGCCTCCCTCTTCAGCGGGCGGCTGGTGCGCTCGGACATGGCCATGACCGGGGAAATCACACTGCGCGGCCTCGTGCTCCCGGTGAGTGCGGCATCCCGCTCAGGGGCCCTCCTCGTGGGTTGCTTGTGCACTTTACGTGACCGTGCTTTAACCGTGCTTTTAAATGCGGAACGGCCTCCTTCCTGTGAATGCCTTAGTTTTACACATACAGACGTTTCACAGCTGTAATTCATATTTTAAATTTTCATCAGTCTTAGAAAACCACCTCCCACATGTTTTTCCTTCCACTGAAAACGAGGACTTGCTGAGGGAGAAGACTGCCGTCTGGCCGCAGCAGCAGCGGCGCTGCGGGTCGGGGCCGTGTTCGGCGGGCAGGGCGGGCAGTGCACGGTGTGGGTGTAGCGGGTCCGGGGGGGGGGGGGGCCCGGGGGAGCTCCCGTGCTCCCACAGAGCGCCAGGCTCCTGCGGTCCGGTCCGTGGGGAGGTGGGAAATCAAGCAGCATGACGTGCAAACTGAAGTGGAGACTAACCGTGTCTGATTGCTGTGTTTTGAAAAAATTCTCTACACCTAGATCCACGGCTTAAACTCCTTATGGAAACACCGATAAAATCCACCTATGTGGGCATCTGCAGGGTGTTCAGTCGTCAGTCACCCGACTAAATTTTGGGTCACAGCAGAATGAGGGGAAGGGGAATGCTGTTCTGGGAGCGCCTTCATTTTAGGCAGCGATGGGAAGTAGGTCACCGGCCGCTGGGCCCCAAGGCCGGAGGTCGCCAGCAGGCCCGCAGCGAGCCCTGCGCACCCGACGTGGGAGGGCTGCACTCGGCCGACCACCGCTGCCCTCCACGCCGGCCCAGGGTGGTGGCTTGGGCGCGAGGTGTGGTCTGTGTACGTGCAGTGCAGTTAGTTGGACGTCGGGTCGCCTGACCCCTCCAGCTTTGCTCTTCTTTCTTGGGATGGCTGTTGCTACCTGGAGCCTGGTGTGGGTCCATACACGTTTTTGGAATATTTGTTCCAGTTCCGTGAAAGACTCTTGGTATCTGGATAGGAATTGCGTTGAACCTGTAGATTGTTTTGGGTAGTACGGACATTTTAACGATGTTAATTCTTTGTATCCATGAGCACAGTACGTGCTTCCACTTGTTTGTAACTTCAGTTCCGTTCTTCAGTGTCTTTTCATTTTCTTTTTTTTAATATATTTTATTGATTATGCCATTACAGTTGTTCTATTCCCCCCTCATTCCCCTCCACCCTGCACCCCCTCCCACCATTCCCCCCTTTAGTTTATGACCATGTGTCTCAATTTCTTTAGATTCTGTATTTCCCATACTATTCTTGCCCTCCCCCCTATCTATTTTCTATCTACCGTTTGTGCTACTTATTTTCTGTACCTTCTCCCCCCTTCTCCTTCTCCCACTCCCCTGTTGCTAACCCTCCATGAGATCTTCATTTCTATGGTTCTGCTCCTGATCTAGCTGTCCTCTTAGTTTGCTTTTGTTTTAGGTGTGGTTCTTAATAACTGTGAGTTTGCTGTTCTTTCACTGTTCATCTTCTTTATCTTCTTTTTCGTAGGTAAGTCCCTTTAACCTTTCATATAATAAGGGCTTGGTGATGATGAACTCCTTGAATTTGATCTTATCTGAGAAGCACCTTATCTGTCCTTCCATTCTAAATGAAAGTTTTGCTGGATAGAGCAGTCTTGGTTGTAGGTCTTTGGATTTCATGATTTGGAATACCTTTTTCCAGCCCCTTCTTGCCTGTAAGGTCTCTTTTGAGAAATCCACTGACAGTCCGATGGGGACTCCTTTGTAGGTGACTGTCCCCTTATCTCTTGCTGCTTCTAGGATTCTCTCCTTCATTTTAATCTTGGCTAATGTAATTATGATGTGCCTTGGTGTGTTCCTTCTTGGGTCCAACTTCTTTGGGACTCTCTGAGCTTCCTGGATTTCCTGGAAGTCTATCGCCTTTGCCATAGATTGGGGACGTTCTCCTTTATTATTTGTTCAAATAAGTTTTCCACTGGTGGCTGTGCCTTTCCCCCTTCTGGTACCCCTATAATTCGGATGTTGGAGCGTTTAAAGATGTCCTGGAGGTTCCTAAGACTCTCCTCATTTCTTTGAATTCTTGCTTCTTGACTCTTTTCTGTTTGGCCATTATTTGCTTTCTTCTGGTCCACTCTATTGATTTGAGTCCCAGTTTCCTTTTCATTGCTATTGGTGTCCTGTGCAATTCCATTCATTTCAATTAGTTTGGCCTTCATATATTTGTCTAATTTCTGGCTATAATCAACCAGTTCTGTGAGGATCCTGATGACCAGTGTTTTAAACTGTGCGTCTGAGAGTTTTGCTATTTCTTCATCGCTTAGATCTATGTATGGGCTCTGGGGCTTTGAGATCTTCTTGCGACACTTTTGGTCTGTTCGGGTCCTTTAAGTGTGAGAAGCGGCGCCTTGGACTCCCAGGTCGCTGGGTTGTGACGCTGTATGTGGAGGCGTGGTCAGAGCGGGGAAATGGCGACCTCCTCTGCTGTTTTTCACAGCTGGGTGAGGAGCAGTGCCTTAGGTGGTTCTCCAGGGCCGGGCCACTCAGAGTCGCTGGGTTATGACGCTGTATGTGGAGGTGGGGTCAGAGCAGGGAAATGGCGGCGCCCTCCACTGCCACTTGCTGCGGGGACCCACTGGGCCCGGTCCAACTGCCCACTCCCTCGCCTGTCCACCCGCAGTCAACACGCAGCACTGCTCCCCCTCTGTCTCCCCCGCGGTCGCTCGCCTGGTCGCTCGCTGGGTCGCTCACTGGGTCCAACCCTGTGCCTGGATTCCACGCGCCTGAGTCCGTCTGACTGAGTCCTCCTGTGCTACCCCGCTTCACCAGCCACTGGTTTTGCCCCTTACCGGTCAGGCTGAAGAATTTGTTGTTAACGGACTTCCGAAAAGTTCAATTTTCCGTGTTCTGGCTGTGTTTTCTGTTGCTAATATTTAGTTGTCTCTAAACTTGGTTGTGTGAGAAGGCACGGCACATCCACCTATGCCTCCATCTTGGCGGAAGTCTCTGAGTACAAGTTTTTATGTCCTCAGTTAAATTTGTCCCTAGGTTTATTTTCTATGTATTTATTTTTGATGCAGCTGTCAATGGGACGGTTTTCTTAGTTTCCCTTTCTGACAGTTCACTGGTGGTGTATAAACATGCAACTTAGATGTTAATTTCGTATCTTGCTACTTACTGGATTCATGGACCAGGTCTAGTGGTTCGGGTGGGATCTTCAGGGCCCTCTGCGCACAGCACCATGTTGTCTGCGAGCAGCGATAGTTCCGCTGCCTCCTTTGTGGTTCGGGGGCCTGTCTTTTCTCCTGGTCTGATTGCCGTGGCCAGGACCTCCTGGGCTCTGTCCAGTAAGAGAGGTGAAAGCGGTCACCCCGTCCTGCTCCCGATCTGAAGGGAAACACGCTTAGTTTCTGCCCATGGGGTGTCATGCCGGCTGTGGGTTCATCCTGTGTGGCCTCTGTTATGTTGAGGTACCAATATGTCCCTTCCATTCCCACTTTGCTGAGCAGTTTTGTCATAAGTGGGGGCTGGGTTTTATTGGATGCTTTTTCTGCATCTGTTGATAACAGTCATGTGATTTTTATCTTTCCGTTTGTGTGTGCGGTGTACCACATTCATTGAGTTGCGGGTATTGTACCCACCTTGCATCCCTGACTAAATCCCCGGTTTGCTTCGTAGAGGATGTTAGCATCTGTATTCATTGGGGATGTTGGCCTATAATTTCCTGTCTTTGTAATGTCTTTATCTGGTTTAGTAATTCAGATAATGCAGCCCTCAAAAATGAGCTTGGGAGTCTCCCCTCCTCTTGAATTTTCTGGAAGGTTTGAGAAGGGTGGCTGTTGGTTCTTCCTGGAATGTTTGGTGAAATTGTTCTGCAAGGTTGTCAACAAATAAAACTCCCGTTTGTTGAGTTTTCTGATTGCTGCCTCACTTTCACTAATCGTATCTGTTTGTCCAAATTCTCTGATTCTCCCTGACCCAGTTCTAGAAGGTGGTATGTTTCTAGGAATTTGTCCATTGCGTCCAAATGTCCAGTTTTCTCAGTACTTAGTTGTTTGTGGTACTTCCTTACAATCCTTCCTATTTCCATGGTTTCAGTTGTTACTTGTTTCATTTCTGATCGTGTGTGTTTGGGTCCCGTCCCTTTTTATCTTGAGTCTGGTCTAATATTTACTCTTCTCAAAGAACTGACTCTTGGTCTCACTGACTTCTCATTTTTATCTGCCCCGATCTTTCGTGTTTCCTTCCTTCCACTCCCTTTCGGTTTTGTTCGTTCCTTTCCTGGTCCCTTTAGGTGTGAAGTTAGGTTGCGGCTTCTCGAAGCAGGCCTCAGGTGCTGTGAATTGCCCTGTTGGGACGCCATCGCTGTGTCCCAGGGTTCTGGGTTGTTGTTTGTTCATTTTCATTCCCAGGTGTCTTGGGTGAGTTCTCCCTGGGTCTCACTGTTACCCCATTCGTTGTTTGGTAACAAGTTATTTAGTATCTGTGTGGTCGTGTTTGTCAGTTTTCGTGCACATCGTTTAAAACGACAAGAGCCTAGGCCATTTGGGGACCTGATTCCTTCAGCAGGTGGCACGGTAGCCCGGTCCCTGAACTCGTGTAGAGGAGGTGCTCCTGGCACTCGGCCAAGCCCTGCAGGAATGGCGCTTGAGGTCAGGGTCTCCTGACGTGTTTTCCGAATCGGGCGGCAGACAAGCCCGCCGTGACCGAGGGCTGCATCGTGAACACAAACCTTGGCACGGTTAAAGCGAATCAGGGGCAGAAGAGTGGCTGCTTGTTAGGAATTCAGCCTTTCCCCCCCATCTGTAGGCTTACTGTCTCCGCCCATCTGTGGGGTTGACTGTCTCTCCCTCCATCTGTGGGGTTACTGCCTCCCCCCCATCTGTGGGGTTGACTGTCTCCCCCTCCATCTGTGGGGTTACTGCCTCCCCCCATCTGTGGGGTTGACTGTCTCCCCCTCCAACTGTGGGGTTACTGCCTCCCCCCATCTGTGGGGTTGACTATCTCTCCCTCCATCTGTGGGGTTACTGCCTCCCCCCATCTGTGGGGTTGACTGTCTCCCCCTCCATCTGTGGGGTTACTGCCTCCCCCCATCTGTGGGGTTGACTGTCTCCCCCTCCAACTGTGGGGTTACTGCCTCCCCCCATCTGTGGGGTTGACTGTCTCTCCCTCCATCTGTGGGGTTACTGCCTCCCCCCGTC